GAATGATTCTTGTACTAAAAGAAAGCTTATGAATCAGGCTTTCATATCCTAGATTTTCATAGGGCTACATACTTTTTCGTGGGATAATCAATATATATATCGAATATTCTCGATATTGGATTTCCAATAATTGAAGATTTTGATATCGCCTGTGCGAAGGCCAAAAAAAAAAAGTCTCCGGTTTCCTGGTATGCGCGCTCGTCGCCGTAGCCATGCACGTCGGCAAATGAAACAGTTTTTTTTAAATACAAGATGATGTCTCAAAACCGCCAAACTCACTGGTTTGACTGGAATCCTGCTGCTGCCCAAATTTCACGTGTTTTTTTAGATGGATTATGATCGAGAATAAGCTTTATGTGGCCTCTCTGGACTCCAAAATATTTGCACTACGTTTAGTCGGGCACCATTTGCATTCATCAGCCGACATTTGAAGCAAAAAAACAGGTAAAAAAAAAAATGCCGCGTCGCGCACCACTTTTTGGGCAAGCTCCATACTAGAAACCGGAGACTTTTTTGGGGGCATAAGCCAACTGTTCTCTATCATCAACCTGAGGGCGGCTTAAATATATTATTTCGCTCTGTGAATCTCCAAATAAGACGGACAGTCTATCTCAGTCATAATGAGTGTTTTGCATGTACCTGTACGGTGGTGTTGCTCAGGATGTCCTTTATGTCCGCAATCATCTGCTTGCATTCCGTGCAGACGTTACCGTCTGATGGAGGCACCTAGCACGGGAAGAAGAAATAGCACCTAAGCCGATAAAAATGGCAGCAGGGGATTGATGGCCCATCAGTTCATTGAAGCCTTGCATGATGGGTGCTAAAAGAGTCGAGCCATCTTTAGCCCTGCTTTCTGTACTCTGTAATGTTGCTTCTTCGACAGAAAAACCAACTCGAAAACTTAACTTAAACTATATGTCAAATGTATGTTTAAGACTGGTTGGAGTCTGAATGCTGATAATTACCCGAATCGAAGCTGAAGGTAATTATACGCATCCCAGACTCCCATCGGTTCTTAACCATAGTGTTTAATACCAACCTAGCACATATTTATTCCCATTCACAAATACCGGCACCTTTTCAAAATCAAAACAAAATCTAAAATCAAAACAAGTTAAAAATTAAACGTTTCCAACAATTTTGTAAAACAATTTCACTTTCTTTTTCTCGAAACACCCTCTACATGTAGCTCTATAATGGAGTGTCCTGCTCACGAGTAAGACATAAACATCTCCTTTTTTGGAGATTGGCGCTCGCGTCTTGCGTACTGCGCGATGACACGCAGATGCAGCTGTGGTGAGTGCATTGTGAATTTAGGACTATGAAATACTGACTCACTGGCAGTATTGCACATGCCTATGTAAGGATTGTGAACGTTCAACCAATAAAACGCTGGATTGTGAACGTTCCATCAATAAGACGGTAAAAGGCACTGGATTTCATAGGAGTCCAAATTTCACGTGACACACTGGAAAATGTCAGCCAGCTGGTGTTTTATCAACCGTTTAAGACCAGCCACGTGCTGGCTCTCAACCAATGGGAATCCAGGGTAAATGTCTAAGGTATTTATGAATATTACTTAATCAAACTGATATAAAGCAAAATCATCTGTACTACACCCTTCAGTAATTAAAGTGCAAGTCTGTAACTTCTAATCAACATGAAATAATCTGTGAAACTGGGGAACTCCCACAGTGGAATAATCACAAACTAGATGTTTGTGAACAAAATGTGGCTGTCATCATGACGTCACTTTATTTTCATCTATAAGACTCCCTGTGTAGGTATATGTACATATCAAGTTTCAACCCAATCGGACCTGTAGTTCTGGAGATATAGGCCTTGAAAATATGCACGTGACTCGTGACGATGTCATGATGTCCTCAATATTCAGCACACAACTGCAGGTGTTGGTCTAAGTGTATGCCAAGTAAAGGTATCAGATTTATTTTTGTGCCCCAAAAGTGCCAGGCACGATGAAAATGTGTACAAACGCTATGGGAACTTGGCTGACAAGGAAGAAAACAAAAACTTTACGAAAACAAAGGCCGTTTCGGCGAGTTGCCGAAACAACCAATAACATTTTGTGATAAAAACACTGCAACTTCTTCAACTCACCATAACGGCCTTGGCGGCTGGTCTGGGCTGGACATGCTCCACACTTGAGGTGCATAGTTGTATCATGGTGCACAGAGACGGTGTCTGTGAAGAGTTGTCAGAAATAACACTTTTGTCTAAAACTTAAACACCCAAAAAACTGATTAACTCCATGGAAACCCAAGAACCCAAAAGATACCAACTCAACAGACTCCACAATTCAAGACACAAACAGACACTCTTAACAAATACTCATGAACTCAAGGGCCATTTCAAACTGCCAAAGAGACTCTGAACTGCACTATAAACCGATTTTAAAAAACTGAAGATACTCAAACATGAAAGACACTAAAGGCCCTGTCAGACTGTCTGCGATCATATATGTCTGTCACTGCGTCCTTGAAAAGTGGCTGGGGCACAACAACACTACTAGATCGCAGCGACAACTACATAGGTTGCCAGATGGGCGCCAGAGGGTCTTAATGGTCCCCGATGAGGGCTAAAGTTTTTAACATGCTCAAAACAATCACAACACCTCTGCGCTCTGGCCAGGGCGCCGTGATGATACAACTCAGGCGTTGTGCCAGCGTCAATCGTGCCACATTGAAGTGGCATTGAGGCAGCCTAGGCGCAAGGCAGTCGATGTAGTCTCCATGAAAAAGTAACTCGATTGTGATGTACTTGTAGTATAAATTTGAAACTGGACTGCAGATTGACTGTATTTATACAGCGCAAGTGACATCACGTGAGCGTATTTTGGTCGTATAAAGAGCGCAATGCGAGCTACTAGGATTTATCAACAGCAAGCGGAGTGTAGTTTGGGGGCAGTGACAGCGCAGCGGCAAGCAGACTAGATCGAGTAATCGGGCTTGACAGGGGTGCATAGAGAGTGAGTTGAGTGCATCGTAAGCGCCTGATGAGCACAGTATGAGTGTACCGGTAGCTTGAGCTGCTTCTGGCCACTTCAGACGGAAATTGTCATTGTCGTGTGTCCTCGCTGCGATTGTTAAATCTATTAAATATTTTTTTTGTCACCGTAAGGTCTCCTATGAGAGCACTATAATGAGACAGGCCCTTTAGGAGCCCAATAAACATTCAAGAACTCAACCGACCCACTCAAAAGTGCAATTGATTCTAAAACAAACTTAACCAATCCTCAACATCTTTTTTGCTACCTAATAACCAAAGCCATTAAAAAGTCAACTCTAACACTCAACAGATGCTCAAAAACTCAACAGAAACTCGAAACTCGATGGCCACTCACCAGGGCACCTGTGATCATGCTCGGTATGAGTTGACCATAGTTTAGATGCCTTCAGTACGTGTTGCCAAATAACAAAGGAGCCATCAAAACTCAAGAGACACTCAAAACTCAAAAGCTCAGAACTCAAAAACTCACAGAAACTCAAAATTTGTCAGCCACTCAACTGAGTGATCATACTCAGGTGAGTGGATCATAGATGTTGACATCTTTGATAACAGTAGCCCCCAAAATTCAAGGCACTCCACAACTCAATACTCAAAAACTCTACGGAAACTCAACACTCAACAGTGACTCACCAGTTCATTTGTGAGGACGCTCATCAACGACGGGACCATAGTGTTTAATCACTCCAGTACAGGTAGCTGTGGAACCGCCTAGAGCGACACAGACAGCGATGGCCTTGTTGAATATATCTTTCTGTAGTGGGGAAAAAGTTGTCATTTTCGGTTTAGCAGTTTAGTATGGTACCACCAGCAGCCTCACTTACAAGCACTTGTGTTGCATAGTTGGTAGCCCAGGAGCTAATCTTAGGGTACTATTTCTCCGGTGAAAGTCGTGCAATGAACATGCAGGACATCTACTTATAGAAGTACTATCATGACTATATGGGTTTAACCCATTAACAACTGTATTACATTGTATGACATTGTATTCATTCACCAATGAATAGTGCTTTGGCAGTTCTGGGCAATGCAGGGAGTAACAGGCAGGGTGGTTTGGGGCAACACAGGGAGTAAAAGGCAGGGCGGTTTGGGGCAGTACAGGGAGTAACAGGCAGGTGGTTTTTGGCAGTACAGGAAGTAACAGGCTGGGTGGTTTGGTGCAATACAGGGAGCAACAGGCAGGGTGGGTTTTGGGCAATACAGGGAGTAACAGGGAGTAACAGGCAGGGTGGTTTGGGCAGTACAGGGAGAAACAGGCAGGGTGGTTCGGGCAATTCAAGGAGTAACAGGCAGGTGGTTTGGGCAGTACAGGAGAAACAGGCAGGGTGGTCTGGGGCAGTAAAGGGAGTAACAGGCAGGGTGGTTTGGGGCAGTAAAGGGAGTAACAGGCAGGGTGGTTTGGGGCAGTACTGGGAGTAATAGGCAGGGTGGTCTGGGGCAGTACAGGGAAAGGCAGATTGGTTTTTGAGCAGTACAAGGCTAACAGTAAGGTGCTACATATATAATAAACATATCCAGCAGACGTACTTGCACTGTTTGATTGTTGAGAATATATCTAACAAGTCCATAACTATCTCCTTACACTCTGCACAGGGATCTCCATTGCTCTTAGTAACCTAAGGGGACAGACAAAAGAGATAAACAAAGGAAAATTCATGAAGTTTATTTTGAAACGCCCAATCAAATGCAATTTTTTTTCATATGTATGTTGCGTACCGGCACTGTATTTTTAAAGGTTTTGCTTGTCCCGGAAGCCGCCTAGAGTTCTCTTTGTCCGCAGACTGACCTAATGACTGACTAACTTACTGGTTGTAACTGGCGAAGAGAGCCCGGCAGTGCTATCATATAGGATGACCCTGTAACACCAATGAATGGCTAAAGCCGCCCATTGTGTAGACAAGATGCATAAAAAGACTTGCAGTAAATAGAAATTCCGATTATTGACTGACTGGACTGACTGACTGACTCCCGGTTGACTGACTGACTTGCACTAAGACTGGTTGTAGACTGGTAAAGAGAACCGAGCAGTGCTATCATATAGGATTACCCTGTACCACCTTGGATGGGCTAAATCCGGCCCTTGGGCAGACCAGATGCATGGAAAGACTTCCAGTGAATAGCCATTCTGAATTAATTGACCGACTGGACTGACTGACTGACTGATTGTCACTTTGACTGGTTGTAGGCTGGTGAAGAGAACCGAGCAGTGCTTTCATATAGGATGACCCTGTAACACCTTGGATGGGCTAAATCCGGCCCACTGTGTAGACCAGATGCATGGAAAGACTTCCAGTGAATAGCCATTCTGACTTAATTGACCAATGGACTGATTGACTGACTGACTCCCCGTCACTTCGACTGTAGTAGACTGGTGAAGAGAGTCGGGCAGTGCTATCATATAGGATTACCCTGTAACACCAATGAATGGGGTAAAACCCGCGTGCATTGACTGACCACATGCATGAAAAGACTTCCAGTGAATAGCCATTCCAAATCAATTGAGTAGAATTGTGTGCATACTGGGACCGGCTCTACTAAGCTTGTCTTGTCTTGTCCTTTTATTGTGAGTATATTTAGATACCTGCTCAATGGATGAGACAACACGGCCAAGTTTGTAGAGAGAGCCTGCTGCACATAAACCCTGCTGAGGGCAGATAGTGCTGCCGTCCTGTGTGAGAGAAAAGTGATTAGAAGATCAATTTCCATGAGGATTACATGTACGTCAATTCAAAATGTGGGCACGTGTGGTCTAGCGGAGGATTCATGATCGTGAATTGTGGGTTCGAGCCCGGCGTGCCATGCGTGTTGTGCCCTTGAGTGAGGCGCTTTACCTCAATTACTCCTCTCAACCCAGGTGTTAAATGGGTACTGGCATTATTCCATGCTGAGAAGGTAACAGACTCGCTGTGGAGAAGGTGTGGCGATCCCCCCACAGCAGTATTTCATGGACTCAAGTCTGGCCCAATCGCTTTGGGCAGATGGGCACTCCGTTCCTGTGAACACAGGTTTGTCCCTTTACCTAATTGGAACAACTTACAAAATCTTCAGAACTACAAAGCATCACAACCTCAATTGTGGTATCAAATGAAAGGGGACAACAAGACCTTTCATTTGAGTACACTAAGATGGAATATGGTTGAGAGCATTTTTGTTGTCAGGGAAAAAAAATATTTTGGGGACAAAAATTATGGCTTTATTAGCAGCTTGCTTTTTACATGCAAAATGCAAGTGGGATTGTGAGTTTTTGTTTTTAAGGCAGAAGAAAAGTTCATTTTTTATGTCAAAAGAGATTTTGTTGATTAGTTTCTTATCTTTTACCAAACCTTAAATGCACAAGGAGATAGATAGTCCGACTAGTACGAAGACTGCAGCGCGCAGAATGTAAAAGGACGCAAAAAGTGTCATGCCAGTAACCATGGAATTGCCCTTAGTTTTTGTACACAAACAAAATCAGTGTTGAAAAGAAGATGTGAAAATATTTCAGTCTTAATAAATATTATGCCAAATGTTTAAAACTAAGGAAACTTGTGTGATAAATGTGTGGAAAAAACACATTTGAGTAATAATAATAATATAATAACTGTATTTTATAGCGCCTTTTGCCAGAGGATAAAAAGCGCAGGGGAAAATGCAACTAAAGACAGGTAAATGAAGTATATGAACATTATGAGACCCATTATGTAGCACCTTTTTTGCTAGGTGCTGTGGCGCATAATTACTGCTACTGCCAGAAACACCAGGGCAAACCCCTTCTCTTAGCGACCAGTGTTACTGGGTTCTTCAACGTGCATTACACAACACACGGGACCTACGGCTTTACGTCCCATCCGAAGGACGAAGCAATAACGGTAAAGTGCCTTGCTCAAGAGCACAAACACCATGTTCCCAAGGTCAGGATTCGAACCTATGTACCACAGCACACAAGTCGAACACCGTAACCATTGGACCACAGCGCCCCATTTTGATAAGTAAGTCATTTTGATAAAAAAATCACCTGATCTGAAAAAAGTCGCATGATGTAAAGTAAAAATTTCTCACCAGCAATGGAATCAGCTCTTGTAAAACTAGCGGTCCGAACTCGCCGATGTCTGTAGTACATGTATCCGGAGCTATGCCTAGGGCTTCACACACCTTGGTTAAGGTGGAGAACAAGTTTGTCTGGAAAAGACGGGAAACAACAATAAAAGAAATGTTAATGAAATCAACAGCATAAACAAGTTTACAAACAAGATTTCAAATTGTAAAAGTGAAACGTTTACATCAGGGTTGGCTGATTTAAATCACGTTGATTTAAATCACTGATTTTACCAAAAAAAGTGATTTAAATCAGTGATTTTTGTAACAGTGATTTAGAAACATTTTTAGACATATCAATGTTTTGAAAGTCAAAAAAAAATATCAAACAATCTGATTTAAATTTTAAAAAATCTGATAAATCAAATAAATCTTCTTTTTTTTAAATAAAAAATCACAAAATCGCAAACCCTGTGTATATGAAATGTTTTGTTGTTGTAAAAAGAATTGAAGACTTTACAGGGTGAGTCAAAAAAGGGGAACCCGAACCCCAGGGGAGTAACAAGCAACAGGGAGGTTTGGAGCGAGCAGTACAGGCGAGACTAACAGGCAGGTGGTTTGGAGCAAAACAGGGAGTAACAGGCAGAGCGGTTTGGGGCGGTACAGGAGTAACAGGCACGGTGGTTTGGGGCAGTACAGGAGTAACAGGTAGGGTGGTTTGGGGCAGTACAGAGAGTACAACAGTAACAGGCAGGGGTGGTTGGGGCAGTACAGAGAGTATCAGGCAGGGTGGTTTGGAGCAGATACAGGGAGTAACAGGCAAGGGTGGTTAGCGGCAGTACAGGGAGTAATAGGCAGGGTGGTTTGGGGCAGTACAGGGAGTAACAGGCCAGGGTGGTTTGGGGCAGTACAGGGAGTACAGGCAGGGTGGGTTTGGGGCTGTACAGTAAACAACAGGCAGGGTATTTTGAGGTTTTAAAGGAATAGATTAAACCAAAAATGCTACAAGTTGATGATCAGTTCAATCGTTAACACCCACCTGCACGGTTTCGTTGTTCAGGATGTCTTGCAAGTCTTGAGAATATTGCTTGCATCCTTGCAGGTGTCACCGTTAGCAGGAGGAACCTTTGAGACAGGAAGAAAATAAAACAGACAATCATTATGAATATTTGCAGTGAAAATAAAACTGTGGCATATCTCCATTAAAGGTACAGTCCATCTTTTGTTTCATTTGAAGCAATAAACATGCTCAAAATCTAAAGAAGGGTGCTGAAAAACTAACCTGATGAACTTTCAAATCAGCTTCAACATTCTAGGATCTCGATTTTAAATCAAAAGTTGCTGAATCACGTTTTGAATCGGGCCTGAATTCAGTGTTTCTCATCATTTTGGGACTGATAGATCTCACCCAAAAGCCTCTAAACCTGTTTTCCAGAGAGGGGGAAACCTTGTGTGGACATGGGCAAGTCCACACAACGTATCTGAAAACTGGTTTATGTGGACATCTTTTGTTCGGAAGTCCACACAGTGAATGTAATGCCTGTACACCTTTTGCACTTGATTGTATAGCAGAAATAGCAGTAATACTGATCTGTAGTCAACCCAACTAGTAACTCCCTAGATATTTTTTCTAGATGTAGCTTCAATCCTGTAAAATCCTCTAAATGCCTACATATAGAAATTGCACACAGCCTCAATCCTACAAAATGCTGTTATTTCTTAAATGTGGTCCTTGGAGGGGTGACTACTGCCTCAATCCTGCAAAATCCTCCAGCAATCACTGTCAATATTCATAAGATGTAATTTTGCGTCGGGGTGATGTAAATCAAACTAGGTTTTGCCCTTCACCGATGTATAAACACTGTATACTCAGTGTGTTACCTCCCGAGTGAAAGTTGGAAAAAAAATCACTCAGGTGGGACTCGCAACCCACGATCTCCTGCTTTCTAGTGCAGATGTCTTACCACTCGACCACCCAGCTAACGGGATCGTTGGCTGGTTCGAATCTGATGTATATAGCAGCGGGTACCGCATTAACTATTCATAAGATGGAATTTTGCGTCGGGGTGATGTAAATCAAATAGGTTTTGCCCTTCACCGACGTATAAACACTGTATACTCAGTGTGTTACCTCCCGAGTGAAAGTTGGGGGGAAAAAAAAATCGAGTCCCACCCGAGTGATTTTTTCCAACTTTCACTCGGGAGTATACAGTGTTTATACGTCGGTGAAGGGCAAAACCTTATTTGATTAGAAGCAGAGCAGTGACATCCTGGAGCAGTGCGGAGGATATCAAGCATAATCTAGGCCTAGACCTTGACGCAGTGCATTCTCCAAAATCAGCAACACACCTTTGCCATGTAGCCTCAATCCTGCAAAATCCTCCATTTTGAAAACAAAGTTTTTGGAGGATTTGGGAAGGTTAGGGTCAATGTTCAATTCAAATTGTCCAAAGTAGACGATTCATTCATGTTACCTGCATGAGTCGAGACATGGCTTGTGGCTTGCTGACTGCGCTGAAGTCTTGGCTGGGCGTACACACCTGGATGATCTCACACCAAACAGGCTCTTTCTAGAAAGCACAAGAAGAAATAAAATATGAACAATCATGAAGTCATTACTGGTAGCACAAAAGAAATCTGCTCGAAAAGAATCAACAAGCTGTTCCATCCTATGAAGACAATACAGGGTGAGTAAAAACAACCACCAAAACCCAAATATTGGGACTATTGTTGAGTGAAGTTCTGCATGTGGCACTTTCAAAATCTAGGATATGAACGCCCAATTCATTAACTTTCTTTTAGTTCAAGAATCATTTAAATCACTCATATAAGTTTCAACTTACGGAATTTTAAACACAACCACCATTTTAAAGTTCTGTCCATGGATCACAAAATAGGTAAGTGTTCTTTCAGCAAAACGAAAAACAAGTCAAATGGGGATGTGTTGAATTATTTCTGTTTCGCTGAAAGAATGCACACTTTTTTAGTGATCCGTGGACAGAAGTTTAAAACGGTGGTTGTGTTTAAAATTCCGTGTTTAAACTTGAAAAGTACATGAGTGATTTGAATGATTTTTGTACTAAAAAAAAAAGCTTATAAATTGGGCTTTTACAAGTATATCCTAGATTTTGAAAGTGCTACTTGCAGAACTTCAATAGTCCCGACATTTGGGTTTCATTTTTTTTGTTTACTCACCCTGTATACCATGTGACATTCGTTTGCAAAATCTTGTGGTCACGTGTATGCCATCTTTCAGCAAATGGTTCTCTTTTCCAATGCATGTATATCGTTCAGTGCTTTTAAAGTGTTCACATAAACTTTAATGTGGGCCAAATAACATGCAAAAAATGTTCGAGTTGCCCGCTGTTGCCTGTCGGCATGAAGTCACATGATCAATAGGCCAATCCACTAAGCCCAACCCACAACACTTTGACCAATCAAAGCCGTGCTTAAAGTCTGGCACGCGTGCACAAAAATCTGACATGCGTGCAGGTGCGTATGATGTTTGCGGCAGCATGCAGTGTGGCACTGAGAGAGGTGCATGTATGAAGCCAACAAGCAAAGTGGTATGGCTTTACACGTTTTATTATGAATGCAATGGTAAGAATATTTTCATATTCATATGGTGACAGATGGAATGTTCCATTCCATAAGGCGCAAAGTGGCATGGCTTTACACGTTTGTGATTGCAATGGTAAGAATATTTTCATATTCATATGGTGACAGATGGAATGTTCCATTCCATAAGGCGAAACTGAGTGGTATACAATGTTTGTGAGTGCAATGGTTAGAATAATTTCATGAGGTAAAAGATGACTGTTCCATTCCACAAGGCGAAGCCGAGGTGAATGGAACATTCGTCTGTCACCGAATGAAATTATTCTTCCATTGCACGAATGCAAAACATTCATTATTGTTTTAAATAACGCCTGAATACATCCTTAATTGTCATCTGATTGGTTGACTTGTGAACCGGTACTTACATTAATGTTCTACTTTTTCAGACAATCTGGTGGTCCCTTCCAATATCCGATTTATTCAAAACTGTCGACAAGTTCAGAACTAGCCAGCATACATGTACTCAATTTATCTCGGTCTAAAACTATTCCACAACTAAGTTCAGAACTTCATATCCATTATATATGTATTTAAATACTGTTATCGACAAGTTCAGATTTTTTTTGCTTCTTTGTGTTAGCTGTGTCAGCATTTGGAGTTCCGGAATTTTCTTCGGAGAACAAACGGAGATTCTCGCGCATTGTCCGCCAAATTGACATTCTGTGAATCAGATTCGTAATACAGCGCCACCACCGGCAGTAATGAAACCGTGCAATGGAAGTTCTACATGTATAATTCACCATGCAATAGAACTGCTATTTTTGTAGTGCATCCGCGCCGTGCGTTAGGACGAATAATTCAAGACATGTGATCAACGATCCACCAATCAGATGACGGGGATTTGTTCAGGTGTTGTATAAATGGAATATTCCATCAGTAACTACAAATGAAATTATTCTTTCCATTAATTGCACGAATGTGAAAAATTCATTATTGTTTTATACAACACCTGAATAAATCCTCGTCATCTTATTGGTCAGAGCCGCCAAAAGTGTTACCGTGCAATGGAACTTCCATTTACAGCGGAATAGAACTTCTATTTTTGTGGTGTGGCCACGCCGTGCATTGGGATAAAAAAAATTGATGAAATGTGACCAACAACCTGACCAATCAGATGACGGGGATTCATTCAGGCGTTGTATAAAATGAATTGGTCAATTGAAGCTGTACGCTGGAACTGTGACAATATCATGAATATGATTTATATTAACTGAATGAGCCAAAAGGATGTGTGCTTTTTGCTTTTAAAGGGATCAATTTATGATGCAGTAATTCTTGAAAAGCAGATAAAATTGCAACCTGCTCCAAACAAACATTTTTTACAATAAACAGGTATCACAAGTCCCAAGTTCCCCAACATTATTCTTAATTAATGAAATAGAAATGCACGATTTCAACAATATCCCAAATGCAAATGACAGAGGACACTCTTCTGCCCATCTTGTGAGAAAATGATAGAAATCCAATCACGCATACCAACACGAAGTCATTTGAATGAAAAAAGTGCCAATAAAAAAAGTTGCAGTAAACAGCATTGCTCCAATGTACCGTAATTTTGGAATATACATGTAAGCTGCGGCTTATACGTTGAATTTGCCCCATGAAAATGTTTACTGCGGCTTATACACAGGGCGGCTTATACGCCGAGCCGTGAAGAATAAAACAGATAATTATAGACCTTTTAACAGATGATTAGACCTTTTAATGCAAAGATGACAAAGAAAATGCAAATTAAATGTAACATTTTTGAAATTGGTTTTTTCTTGTTCTTCCTCTTTCAAGTAGAGACTCTTGTTTTTACATGGGAAATTTCAAAAATGTTACATTTAATTTGCATTTTCTTGTCATCTTTGCATTAAAAGGTCTGCAATTATCTGTTAGATTACCAAGATTGCGTCTTGTTTTAGTTAAACATCCTTTTAAACAAGGAAACTTTTGTAAGGTAAAGTTATTAATTAATGAAAGTCTACCCTGCCTTGCAGGATCACTCAAACCAGTACATTGGAGCGATGCTGTTTATTGCAACTTTTTTTATTAGCACTTTTTTAATTCAAATGAGCTTCGTGTTGGTATGCGTGATTGGATTTCTATCATTTTCTCACAAGATGGGCAGAAGAGTGTCCTCTGTCATTTGCACTTGGGATATTGTTGAAATCGTGCATTTCTATTTCATTAATTAAGAATAATGTTGGGGGGAAACTTAGGACTTGTGATACCTGTATAAGGTGAGTAAAAACAGATAAAACCCTAATGGCAGGACCAATTTTAAATAAAGTTTTGCCTGTAGCACTTTCAAAATCTAGGATATGAAAGCCCAGTCATGAGCTTTCTCTCAGTACAAGAATCATTCAAATCACTCATGTACTTTCAAGTTACAGAATTTTGAACACAAACCCCGTTATAAAGTTCTGTCCACAGATCACAAACAAGTGTTCTTTCAGCAAAATGAAAACAGTCACATACATGTAGGGATGTGTGTGAATTGTTTTCGTTTTGCTGAAAGAACACTTGCTTGTTTGTGATCCGTGGACAGAACTTTAAAACAGGGTTTGTGTTCAAAATTCCGTCACTTGAAATGTACATGAGTGATCTGAATGATTCTTGTACTAAAAGAAAGCTTAATGACTGGGCTTTAATGTCCTAGATTTTAAAAGTGCAACAGGTAAAACTTCATGCAAAAATTGGTCCTGCCATTTGGGTTCTTTTTTTTGGTCTCGTCCTGTATAAGCAAATAACACTGTGCTAGGATTAATATGAATTGTGAAAATGGGATGCTTTATTTGGGGGGGTGTGGGTGGGGGGGGGGGGGGGGTTGGGGGGATGCTGTTGCTGCAAGCCATGTAAAATATATGACTTGACAGGCTCTCACCAGCTGAGAAGTTACAAATTGGACAAATTTGCCCACATATTGGTTGACAAACTGTTCGCACTCGGCCGTTGAGTGGCCTTCATATCTGCAGAACAATGATGCTTCCGTCTGCACTGTCTTCTGTTATGTCAAGGGAATTTTTAAAGTAACAGACACCATTTCCAAACATTCAAAACTAAAACGGACAAAATAAGGAGAAAAAAAGATATTTTTTTTTCAAATACTGCCCCGAATTGACTGACTTTAGTTCAGTTTGCAATTTGTTACATCTATGAATGAGAGTAAAATTTCCCAAGTGACAAACTGGGACATTGTACCACAAGAGGGCGCAATTCAAAATGTATTGAACATTTTGGAACAGAGGGCTCTCGACGAAAACCTTGCTCTGGGTCAAGAAAATGAGGACACATTTTCGCAATTTTCTCAAAAGTATGATATCTACTGAGCTGAAATTTCGACAGGTTGGTTTTTAATAACCTCCTTCAGATGTACTGTAATGGTGTTCAATGGAATCACAGCCTACAGGGTGAGTCCAAAAAAAAATTCGGGACCATTGTTTTAGTAACATTCTGCATGTAGCACTTTCAAAATCTAGGATATGAAAGCCCAATTCATTAACTTCCTTTTAGTACATGAATCATTCAAATCACTCATGTACTTTCAAGTTACAAAATTGTAAAACACAACCAGGTCTGTCCAAGGATCAAAGAAAAGGTGCATGTTCTTTCTGAAAAATGAAAGCAATTCACACACATCCCTATGTGAATTGTTTTCGTTTTGCTGAAAAAAAAAAACATTAACTTTTTTGTGTGATTCGTGGAGAGAACTTTAAAATAGTGCTTGTGTTTAATGTCCTGTAACTTGAAAAGTACATGAGTGATTTAAATGATTCTTGAATGGAAAGAAAACTTGTAAAATGGGCTTTCAAATCCTAGATTTTGATAGTGCTACATGCAGAACTTCAGTAACAAAAATTGGTTCTGCTATGTGGTTGGTTTGTTTTTTTTTAGACTCACCCTGTTCATGTGATCATCGGCCCACCAATCAGATGACGGGGATTTATTCAGGCATTTTAGGCCAAGTTCGCGCAAGGACTATAGTTGACCAATGGTTAACTTACGTTTGCCCGAACTCTGTCTAGTCGACGGTGGTTGACTACGCAAGTCGACTATTTGGAACCAGCCTACTGGGGTTGGTTGCTTCGCTGGTAACCAATAGCCGCGCGCATTCATAACGCTAGCAGAGAGCCAGGATCCAGAAGTTTTGCGATGACATTTTGACCAGCGTTTGACTAGAGACGTTCGCACGTTGCTATCAGTGCGCAGGCGTAAGGTACGTCACAAATCAACCACTAGTCGACTAATGGTCCTTGCCCGAACTTGGCCGTAGTAAGCACTGCTAGGTCATGTGATGGTGTTTGTTTGTTGTTTTTGAGCAGGGTGATGGTTTTGCTGCAAGCCATGTAAATTGGACTTGACAGACGCTCACCAGTTGGAATTGACAAATTGGGTAAATTTGCCCACATAGTTGCCGATAAACTTTTCACACTCAGCCTGTGAGTGGTGTTCAAACAAGCAGAATAACGCCGCTCATACTGCACATACTCCTGTTTGTTACAAAGGATTTGTTTTTCGGCACAAAAAGCTTGTAAACCAATGGCTGAATTCCAAAGCGAGAGAATTTACACTTTCTGGGGTTAAACACAACAGTGAAAACTTCAAAAGCTCCAAAAAGCTACGAATCCGATACGAAAGACGTTCTAAGTTGAAGGACTTTATTAAGGACAAAAACATACCCCAAGTCGATGTTTTCTAATTGGGTTTTTAAAGAGGAAAAAACATGATAGTCGCTCGTATTTGAAGTCTAAATATGAAGCTTTTTAACTTGTGCCACAAAAATGTGAAATGTTTATAGACGTTAAGGGTGTGCATCGGAACCGGGTTCCCGGGTACCCGAGTACCCGACCGCTGATGTCAGGAACCGGTTCCAGATTATGGGAAATTACTTAGTAACTTCTCCAACGATGAAAGGAAAGGTTTTGAATGCCATTTGTGGGAATTTTCAAAATGAAAACCTGGCTACATGGAAAACCAAAACCGACCTCACATTTTGGTACATTTTAACAGGCGACTGATAAGGCACACGAAGATTGCAAGTTTAGAACGTTAAGCTAGAAAGACCTTCAGACAACTTACAGGGTTTGAATTTAAGGGTTGGGTTCTTTTAGGGGTGGCCAGCGAATCTGTTTTTCCCAAAACGACATCCGTTTCCCATCTTCTGATTGGTCCATTACATGCATTTCTAATGTCTTATTCTCCACAACACAAACCCAAGATAGGCTTTACGTCTTGTGACAAATGTAACTTCCTCACTTTGGTTATTTAAAAGGTAAAATGAGAAGAAGTGAAAAAACACTCACTGATATTCGAACTGGGATCACCTGATTAAAAGTCAGGACTACTTCCAACCAGTCCACAAATCAGCTGCCAATCGTCGGTGATTTAAACACCATTATTCCTTGTTATACGACTTGTTCTCTAAAGCCCTGGACATCATGAATATGCATAACAAAGTGAGAGCGCCCTCTTTTAATATTGTCCGATCTCATTTGGGAAAAAAACAATTCGCAGCCAGGTGCACATGCACAGCACTAATGCACACAACTAATAGCTGTCAAATTGTCTTTAAAAAAAATTGAGGAAATCACAGAGGTTAAGAACTTGGCACTTATTACTAAGGGAATAAATGTGTGCTCCGGAGGTTTTTATCACTCTGGTTAAGACCAGGTAATTATCAGCACCCAGACTCTAAGTGGTCTTAAACAGAGTGATAAATACCGACGGAGCACATATTTATTCCCATTCATAAATACCTTTTCGGTAAAAATAAAATCATATAATTCGTTCAAAACATCCCGATTTTGTTCAACAAATTCACTTTATGCTTTTTGAAACATCCCTCTTGCAAAATAATGGAGTGTTCAGCTGGCGAGTAAGATGTAAACAACCCTTTTATGGAGATTGACGCACGCGTATCATGTTCTGCGCGATGTCGCGCAGAACGCACCTGGCGCGTTGCGTTTTGAATTTAGAACTATAAAATTCTGACTCCCTGGTAGTGTTGCACATGCCTACGTGAGGATTGTGAACGTTCAACCAATGAAACGATAAGAGGCACTGGATTTTTAGGAGTCCACACTTATTGTGACACTGGAAAAGTGTTTAAGACCAGCTAGCCATGTCTTTATCATCCGTTTAAGACCGGCCACGTGACGGGCTCTCGACCAATAGGAATGCGTAAACTGTCTTAGGTATTTATGAATACAAATAAATAAGGTGTAATTCTTTCAGCTCTGTATGAATTTATGAACAGTACAATTTGATCATTCAGTTCCTTTTTGGTGATGGTAGAAATTTGGATACTAATATACCACCAAGTTAGGAACTTATTTTTTTTTTGCAGCCAAATTTCTAAAATGTCAATTTGTGTGACACCAAATGATACAAACTTGAGAATTTTTTGCAGATATTAATTTTACCTGGAATGTGCTGTTGCCAGTGATGGTAGCCAGACCACTGAATACTTGCTTGCAACTGGAACACAGGTCACCATTAGGCACGGGCTGGAAAAGACGCAAGATAATCGTAAGAGCAAAAAGAAGCCATTACAATTCGCCGATTTCAGATAGAATAGACCATTTGCAGCTATCCCAAAAGTAACATACCAGATGTGAAAAAGCTTACTTTAATTGGCTTAAAGATAGTAATTACACTATTACTCCCTGTGAAATTATTCCTTCTGGCATGCTGTCATTTTGAAGAAATCAAAAATAAAAAGGTCACTCCCAAAGATGTGTCAAGTGACACATTCTTGGACATTTCGGTGAATCCACTCCCATGCATTCTAATTTGTACTTGGTTTTCAATTGGGCAAATCCGTGAATGGGTGACAACCGGCTGAATGAGAATCATGTCCTGAATGCTGATTTCGGGATTGTGTCAAGGGAGGTTGCAATTCAAATATGACTTGGCAACTTTGGAATTGAAATCTAAAATCCAGATCCAGAATATTGTTTTCTCAAAAAACCCAGTATACAGGGTGGATAAAAAAAAAGAAACCGAGATATTATTCCTTATTGGAACAGAAGTAGGGCACATGTGAATCAAACGGCACCATGATCAAACGGCAAAATGACACCATGACCATGTCCTTACATTGACAGTTGACTGAGCAGTGACCAATTTTATGAAAGGGTCTATTTAGAGAATTGCGCCACTTTTCATGGTGAAATCTCTTTTTTTTTCCCACCTGCCTTGATTGGCAACCATAGCCTTTCACTATGACAAATGACACAACAGAAACCACAATTGAAAAGTGGCCCAATTCTCTAAATCGACCCTTTCGCAAAATTGGTCACTGCTCAGTCAACCGTGAATGTAATGACATGATCAGGGGTGTCATTTTAAAGAGGCGATTCAACCCTAACAGAGGAATATCTCCTTTTGATTCACATGTGCACTACTTCTGTTCCAATTAGTTTCGGTTTTTTTTATCCACCCTGTACAGAACTCTGCCTTTAAGGCCATGGATATTTCACTCAGCAATCAGTTTTGTAGTGTACACAGCATACATTTGTGGCCATTTCTTGGTAAATTTATAACTATTAAACATCCATTAGGCCAAAAAAATGTAATTTTGTAATTGTGCTTCTGGAAGCCAGACTGAGGGAGTGATGGTCGTGAATCTAAAACCTGTGAACGCTTTTTAATTAGCACGATATGTAAGGCAGCGAGCAGACTATTGACCAGCCTGGCAGCACATGCACAATGTCCATGTCACTGTGGTCTGATGCAAAGATCCTACGTTATCGTTTTCTCTGATTTTTGTCTTGACTATCCAAATAGTGGGTGCAGAATTCTCAAACCTTATGGCCTAACCGAGGTCACCTCAAGCTCCACCCTGAATGATATTTTTGAGAGTTTTACGGGGATCGAAGCGTCATCTGCAACATCAGCCAACAGAAGAAAAAAAGTAGTAAAAAAAAAAAAAAACGTGTCGCCGCACTACTACTTTTGGGGAAAGCTCCATACCAGAAATCAGAGACTTTTATTACACAATACCATTATACCATTCTGCCTTTAAAATGTACTCCACGCATCAAAAAATTCAACTTTTAGCTCTTGAATTTTCAACTCATTGTTTCGGCAAAAAAAAACACCGTAGTTTTTTCTTTATTTTGGATGCGTCAGGCACCAATTTACCCTGGGCAAAACAGTAAAGTATTTCGGGAGTGGCAATTAAATTAAAATCTGTATAACTGCCCATACACAAATCTGTTTATAACAAATTGCTGTCCAAATAAAGAAGTACAGTGTATGATTTTCTTTTATGGTGTACAACTAAAGGGTTTAGTCATTCCTCATACCTTGTTGTACGACGGGCACTGCATGAAAATGTTGCAAACTTTATCCTGAAATAAAAAAAAAAATACATGTAATGATATTAATAAAATTATCGATAATGGGTCACTTGGGAGACATTCCCAATAGACCCGAGACCTAAATGTAACGACGTAATGGCTTTGTTTATATATGCATGTGCTTTCCTATGGGAGCGAAGTCGGGACGCCAGATGAAGTAGGGACCGTCTACCACATAGGAAAGTGCACATGTAAACAAAGCGTGACGTCATTAGGTCTCAGGCCTATTTACTGATTGGACACACGAGTATTCGATCTAGACTATCTAGGCATAAGTTAGCTGTATTCGCTACTATGTGACAGGGGCTTAACCAGGAGATTGGCCGAGTCGTTAATCCTTGTGTGTAGCATCTGTGCTCAGAATAACACTGCAAGAAGAAAAAAGTACACAAAACTGAGGGGTGTGTTTTATTTGTAAAGACTTACCGAGTGTTGGATGATGAAACTGATGACCATAGGGCCAAACTGGTTGACAGCCTGTGTGCAAGTATCTTTGGAGTAGCCTTCCACCTGGCAATACTCGATCGCATACATAAGCGCGTATTTCTGGGAAAAGCATTGAAACATACCGAAACATAGGTAAACTAGAAGGCACTCAGAGAGCGCAAACTCCGCCAAGGCTGAAACATTCTTCGCTATATTGTCAGTACACCCAATAGAAATATTCACATATCCTCTGGACTGGCATATTTTATTGTACATTCCCAACTCGCCCATAGTATCAAATGGTTCAGTCCATTGACCTGTCGGTTTCAATGTGTGTGTGCGCTATGCTCTCAGGCTGCACGCTGGATGACACTGGTCCCAATTTCATGGTCTCTACACATAGCATGTTCGCACATACATGTACACAAATGTTGGAAAGAATCCTTTAGAAAAATTCCTGATCCAGACTCAGATCTCGATCACTTCCAAAATTTAATCAACTCGTACTTGTACCAAGGACCACCCCTAAAACAAAATGTCATGAAAATCCGTCCGTAACTTTTTGAGTTATCTTGTTAACAGACAAGCCAACAAACAAACCAACGCCGATGAAAACATTACCTCCTTTGCGGAGGAGGTAATTATAATAACTAGCGAGATGCCGCGCTTCGCATGGCACCCACTAGCTGGGTGGAGTCGTATACTACTGTATTACTTTTGGCTAAATTTGCATTTTGACCCAAAGTGGGAGTAGTAAATCTTGGTGCAGCAATTTCGCCACCTTTTTCATCATGAAAGTTATGTTTTAGCGATAATGTTGTAATATTTAACTATTCAATGCCTGCAAGAAAAAATTTGCCAAAAACCCCCAAAACAAAACACCTAAATCATTTTTAACACCCGAGGGCACTTATAAAAATGTCTTGTAATACGACAGACAGGCGATGGGATTGTTCATTTGATGATACATGTAAAAGCATGGCATTTGGCACACAGTCAGAGTATGTCATGAGAAAGATATTTGGCTATAGGGCCATTCCAGATTTGTCCTTTGAAAAAAATATTGTGGTAGAATAACAAGCAACGGCAGCCATTTTGAAAAAAATTCGTTTTTCCACCAATATTATTTTAAAGGACACAGAAGTCAAAATATGTCAACCAATATAACAATGCTGACACCAGATTTGACAGGAGTCAACATTCATGTGAAACTGGATAAGTGTTTAAGACCAGCCAGCCGGTCTTTATCAACCTTTTAAAAACTGGCCACGTGACGGGCTCTCGACCATAGGATGGGTAAACTGTCTTTGTATGAATGTGTTTTACATACTGCTCTGAATATTGACTCCCGACTAGTGTGATCAAT